GAGAGAGAGAGAGAGAGAGAGATCGAATTTTACGCCCCCGTAAATCGAAAGGTCGTAGGGCCGACCTAGAAACCGAGCTTAAGGGACACCATAAGGCGTGGAAAGGGCGATGCTTTCGTCCGTCGCTCCACAGGTGGCTCGTGAAACCGATTCTTGCGAGAAAGTCCAAGAACGAACGCGAAGGGATGTGCATGCATCCCCTGATGCGGGGATGGTCAGCGCAGAGGAGGACTCACCCCCTCGCGAACAGTTTTATCGAAACGAAATTTCCAATTGCTTTTCACTACTCCTCTCTTGCTCTTCCTCTCGCTCCCACGTTTGTTTTATTCGTGTTTTTAAGGGTAATTATTTCGAATTATTTCGATTGAATTCTGAGAAATTCCGTTTCCACTCATCGTTACATCTCACATGGAAAAATTATATTTTTTTCTTAATAGTTTCGACTAAAAATAATTCCCAACAACAGGAATATATATCCTGAGGGATATTACCTTCAAGTGACCGTATCTCAGAAATACTTTTTGGTTACGTATAAAAAAAAAAGAAAATGTCACTTCTCCACTCTCGTGCACTAAAAATTCTCACCCCTACGAGAAAAGCACCTGGGGAGGAAAAAAATCTCTGAGGGTTTTCACCCATCATCCGTCCGGAAGTCAGCGCCAAGATTCGTGTCTATTTTAAAATTCGAGCCAGAGGAGAGCAAGGTGGAGGGAAGGAAATGGTTCTTTGGATCGGTTCATCCCTTCTTAAATCCATCCGTCTGGTGGCAGATGGTATCGAGATTGGTCACGTGACACTTCGAATTAGATCTGATAATGAGAAGAATAATTGAACAGGCTCGAAATCGCGTTTGCCGACCGTCTAATGCCAACCTTTGACATTTGTCTGACATTTCCTGCAAGGGTTGCCGACCCAAATCTCTATTTCGTGGTCTTGACACGAAACGGATCGATCAGGCGACACGCGTAAAAAAGATAAAAAAAAAAAAAAGAAAACTCAGTTTATAGATATTCGCTAATTTTATTAATCGACAGATTAACCTCTTTCTCTTACTTAATAGGCGAATAAAACCTTCGAAAATATGTCTTATTCTCGAATTTATTTCCACTCTGATATCGAAAGGTATGTTACAATTTTGAAAATTTTATCAAATTGTACGAAAACGATCTTGAATACTTTCCTCTCCATAGTTAATTTTCAAAATTAAGTATCGATCCAGCATCTCTCGATTAAGCGGCAAGAGAAGAAGGGTTAAAGAGAGCGCTATTTAATCTAATATTAGTCGAAAATTTTCGCAGAGTGATCTCAATAATTGATCGAGGACGGAGTTCTCCTCCGCGTGAAAAGTCGCTACGAATCTAGTAACTTTCGATCTAGTATTTATTTTCGTCCAAAGATGTAATAATCTCTGTCCACTTTACGGATCTAAAAACTTCGACTTGTTTCGCGAGCGAACAAGATCTCTCTCCCTCTCTGAGAGTTATTAAAACGAAGCCTCTCCGGATAAAATTTCGAAGCCTCTCCATCCTCGTCACTGAAACCTGGTTCAGAGTTTCGTTCGATCGAAACCACGCATCCACGATCGCTCTCCACGATTCATCCTCCCTCCCTCCTCCCGCTGGTTCCTCGTGGACGCGAAACAGCGTGGCCCTTCAAAAATTCAACTCGATAATTTGCATCGAGGCCGGTGGGGTAGAAAGGGTGGGTAGAAGAAGTGGAGGCGGAGGTGGAGGGCCAGGCTCTGTCCGATCCGCGACCCTTAGGTCCACGGGAAAAAGAGAAAGAGGATCGAGGGAAGAGGGGGGGGGGGATAGAGATAGGGGGCGAAATGGATGGAAAAGGCGAAAAGGAGGGAAAAAAATGGAAATACATGCTCCACGATCCCCGGATTGGTAATCCAACCTACCCACGAGCGAAGGGAAGATAAAGAAGGAAGAGAGAAAGAGAGAGAGAGAGAAAGAGAGAGAGAGAGAAAGAGAGAGAAGGAGAAGAAAAAAATACATTTTAGCTCGCAT